ACTATATGAAACCCTAGGCCCCCCCCCCCCCAACCCGCCCCTCTCCAAACAACAACCAGACAACCTGGATGAATCTTCCTCTTCACGACGCTTGGTGAACTTGTCCTTTCAGTGGCGATGTCTGCACCGCGCTGCGGGGACGTGGGTCCGGGGGTGTCGTCACGGGCCTCTGTGCAGAGGGCAGGGCTCTGCCTGCCGCTCCCACCGAACGACTCCTGTCCATGTGCCGGGGACACTCGGGGGCGCGTCGCTTGCTGAACTCGAGACTCACATGTTCTCTGGCCTGTAGGTCATCGTCTTTAAACGACTTCATTTCTAGGAGCAGTTTTCGAGGCGCAGCAGAAAAGAAGGGACTGATTCCCCTCACACAGACGCCGGCTCGCAGCTCCTCCGCCAGAGGGCTGGTTTGTTACAGTTGTGACTGCACCCACACACGTTGTCACCCAAGTCCATGCCTGACATTCTGCTTCACTTGCAATGTTGTATGTTATGAGTTTGACACGTGTACATATGATCCCGCTTTTATGTATTAGGGCGCTTCTTCCGTCCGGTTATCTCAAACCTGGCGTTGCTTCCCCCCCCCCCCCCCTTTTACATTCAGCCCTTCTCTTCTGCCCTCTGCGGGGTCTGCTGCGCTGGGTCTCTGTCTAAAAAAGTGGCTCAGGGCTGTCGGGATGCGGCTCCAGGCCCCCATGTGCACAGGGCGGCACAGCCCCCGCGCTGGCTCTGGTTACTTCCTGCCATTTCCCCGGGTGTTGCAGGTGCCTGTGTGCGCCCTGCTCCTCTCTCCCCGCTCAGCTCTGTAACCTCAGCCTAGGCCCCCCTTAGATCCTTCTGGACGCCCACCTTTGACTCGGGTGCTCTCTCTCCGCGTGGCCTCCTGTAACGAGTGTTCCCCTGGACTAGAGGTTTCTCTGTGCTCCCCGCGCTCACCCCCAATAAACGGCGGTCCCTGGGGGAACCCTGTCTGTCCGGAGGCAGGGGGTGCTCAGGAGAGAAGTGGCCCAATGGCTGATGCCTTCACACTGGATTCTTTTCGTTTCTGAACATCCCTTCCCCCCGATATGTCCTCGGCTCCTCCGTGTCCCCTGGGCCCTCGGGCGGGGGAAGTGGCCTCCTCCCCCCCTAATGCCATGACAATCCCAGTGTGGCCCCCCCCTGGCCCC